AGAGCAGCTAGGCGCCTTCTGCGGTTATTGGGGCCATTTTCTCGGCGAGCTACTCAGTGCTGCTGCCTCGGCTGCTGCTGTCGCACTGTCAGAAATACCGTAGGCAGTTACAGTTTGTCTACGGTTCGTACCGTTTCAGCGTACGGTCAGGCCGTAACAGTATGAACTACTCGAGGGGGAAATCACTTGGGTTCGTAGCGTACGGGCTATTTCTGGTATTTCTCGGGTGTTTCTCCTGCCATTTCGGTTATTTCTCGCCTATTTCGGATTATTTCAGGGTATTTCGCGGTATCTCTGAGTATTTCAGGGGTATTTCGAGACTATTTCATCGACTATTTCACGTCTTTTTCGGGTCTATTTCGCTCTTTTTCCCCTTTATTTCGGACTATTTCGGGGGAAGGTGTACGAACTATTTCGCAAGTGATTTCCCCCTCGGAACTACTGTACTTTCTTGTTTGGGCTAAGAGCTGTATTTGACTTAATTCCCCAACATTTTTGCAAGTTACGGTCTGTTCTGTATGACACGGACCTTAACCAAAATTTGCGGTGCCGGACCAGGCAACACATTTACAGCGCAGACCGTAGGCCATTGCCGTGTTTTTTTAAACAGTGGCCTCGCGTGCCTCGCGAGGTATGGGCCAAGGTCCTTTACGCCGCGTAGAACGCGGAGAAGAATCTCGGAGCAAACAACGGTTGGGTAGAAAACGAACGAGTAAATGAATACCCTCGCAGAAAGCTGTCGCCGAGTCCAAGCACGAATATTTTGTGCCGGATATCGCAAAGCCGGTTACATGAAACGCCGTAAGAGCCTCTTGGCCTTGACCGACTCGTCAACCTACGAACGACAGTCCAACACAGTCAAGACCCACCGTTCGTCTCGACTGCCGCGTCCCCCCCCCCTCTTCCCCCTCCCCCTCCCTGGAGCATGAAAGAGAAAGATAAACGAACGCGACGCCCCCCGGGGAATTTAATTTGTCGCGCGAGTCGAAGATGTCGGCGGCGGAGGTCCCATCTCTCCTCCAGTCAGTCAGTGAGTCTGTCTGTCAGTCTGTTTGTCAGTCTGTCTGCGAGGATCCCGAGAATGTCGCCGCCAATCAGACGAGTGACGGGCGGGCTGTCACATCTCGAAACGGAGGACAGTGAGGGGGAAGGAAGGCGAGGAAGGAAATTCAAAGGATCAGTGTGTTTGAATAGGCCATCGCAGTCTATTTAAAGCAGACGTTATCGCAAAAGAACAAACTCATTGATTTTATAGCTCTGGTGGGTGAGCTGTGTCTCGACGAGCGTCTCGGAACGAGAAACTGCCACACCAGTTTGCAGCTTATTTCTATATCAGATGTTAGAGACGCACCGAACCACCATGACACACTAACTGAGGTTAATTATTTTAAATATTATGTATCATCTGCTGGCAAACCCTACTTCCGCTCCACTGGAATGACCTTGCAGTCCAAGGGTCGCACGGCGGCGGCAAGTCCTGCTTCACGCTCCGCCCGCTGCGGTGCGGTGGCAACAGCACCCGGCCAGAGAGAGGAGGTGTCTCCACTGCTGCGTGCCACGACGTCCCCCGAGCGAGAAAGTTTATGCACGCCGGAGGAGAAGCACGGCCGCGGGGCGGAGCAGAGCGGAGCGGGCAGCTCCCCGGTGGACGGCAGCCAGCAGGCGCCCGCTTGACAGCCGCCAGCAGCGCTCGACACATTCATAAGTTTGGTGAATGAACACGGTGGTGCCGCTCGGTTGGTTGGCGAGGTTGGGGTGGGGCAGGACGCACTGCCCAACACGGCTGGACTTAATCAGGAAAGAAAAGCGGGACGCGCACCTGATACACGATGCTGAGCGCGGCCGCCCACATTTCAGCCTACATCACACACCAAGTGTGCGGTCGTTTGCTTACCGCTGCCTCCCCCTTTTCGTCCTCCTCCTCGTCCTCGTGCTCCTCGTCCTCGTCCTCCTCGTCCTCGTCCTATCCTATCGGCCCAGGACGGCGCAATCACGCCTACGCCGCTGTCCGCCTCATGCAGCGGCTACACAAAGAAGCATCTGCAGAGGCGGGGGGAGTGCAGCGAAAAAGACATGCGGAGAGGACGAGAGGGGGAGATAGGGGGATGAAATGGGGCGGCTAGTGGGAGTGGGAGAGAGGGGAAGAGAGGGAGAAGGTTTAAGGGGGATGAGGGTTAAGATGGCATGGCTGCGGCCGCATTCTTGTTGAACTTGCCAACACTCTCGGCAGAACTTGGAGGAGCCCCCCCCCCCTCTCCCCCCTTAGCCTCATGAGGGGGCGGCGTGGACTTACAAGCTATGGGATTTCTAGCCGCAACACCGCCCCTTATTTAATAAAGGAATTCAGCGCAAGCCTCATCCATTATTGAAATAGCAAAGTAACCTCTTTTGCAAAACTTGTTGTTGGGCCCTGGCCGCTAGCAAGCCTCGCCAGACTACGACATGCTGACAGCCCGAGAGAAAGATAGAGATAGAGGGGGGGGGGGAGGGCGAGACAGCACGCGAGAGAAGCGAGTGTGTAAGTGTGTGTACGGAGAGATGAGAGAGTGAGAGAGAAGGACTATCTCCTCAGACCTGCTGGACGCACCCGACTGTGATCAGCACATCCCCTGCTGCATCCGGTTCGGGTCCGATGAGGTGTGCGAGGAAAGGACAGGGAGAGGGAGAGAGAGACACGCGCTCTCGCCGATATGCAAGCCCCTGTCGTGATATACGGCCATGTGTGCGCGCGCGTGCGAGGGTGTCGGCAGGGGCATAACCACAGAGCCACTCTGAGCCGCCCTAAAGGGCCCGCCCCGCCCGGCCCCAGCGCCGCCTCCCCCACTCCCTATCCCATTCTCTCCCCGGATGCACAACGCACCCAAGACACCTTTCGTTTTCACCACCCCTCCCCGTCTCACCTGGTAAACAAACCGTAAAAAAAGAGTGGGTTGATTTTTTTTTGGAGGAAAAACGAAAATGTAAAGAATTAAGTAAGAAAGTAAGTAAGTAAGTAAGTAGTAAGCCTCTGTTCTCTCCCACCCCGTGTCCTTGTAGGGCGTGCCCTTTCTATCCACCAACCCCCCGCCTACGCTGCCTCGAACCGCCCTTCGCAGACTGCCCTTGGCAAGACGGCAAAACCACGCAAGCCCAACTTGTATCCCTAATTCCTGCTGCCCTTCGAACCGTGACTCTGCCGAATGAAATACGCGTCGCCGGTGCTCGCGCCATCGTGTCACTCCGATGTGCGAGTCGGGGCTGCCCCCACTGCCCCGCGCTGTGAGACAAAGAGGCAGAAAGCTGGACAAATTTTCACTTCTTCCTCATCGGGCGACCCTGGCCCTGACTTTTGCACCCCGAAAGCATTCTCATGCAATTTTCATCAGCATCAGTCAAATTTTTTCTGTTATGTATAATTTTGGGAAGTGTGTATTCGTATCGTATCGTCTCCGGCGGGGCGCGGATATTTTGAGTTCATTGCTTCTCTTTAGACCCTTTAAACAACGAAAAGCAGTCACTCGAGCAGCAACGCCCCACGCTCGCCCCACGCTCCTACTTCTCCATCTTCTTCTCCAGCTCCTCACTTCCTTTCTTGTAAAACCCGCAAGCCGCGGCCGGGAGCAGCGGCTGGAGCCCGGCCAAGAAGAAAGGAAAAAGTTGTGCGAGGGCATGTTGTACGAGAAGGCGCCCGGGGGGAGAACGGGGGAGGAAAAAAAGATAGGAGGAGAATCGGAATTAAGGCGAGCAGGAGCAGCAGCAGGAGATGAAGGGGCCGTGGGCCATTATGACCCCCTCCCCCCAACACACACGCACACTCATCTACACACACACACACACTTACATACACATTCACATACACACACACACACACACAGACCAAGGAATCAGAACGGCTGCAGCGCTCGCGCCGAAGTACCCCCAATAATGAGATTCCCCGCCACATCTTACACCCCACCCGCCCCTTTGGTTCTCCTCCTTCCAGGAACACCAGGACCACCGCCGCCTGCCCCAGGAAGACCTTGCCCTTGGGACGGCTGCCCACCGGGCGTGGCTAGACTGACACAGTAGTAGCGGCTCTCCAGGAAGGGGGCGCGGAGCGGACGCCGAAGTTGAAAGGGGAAGAGGGGGGGGCAGTGGAAGGAGGCGAATCAGGTCGCATGAGTTTCGGCTCATTACTATTCCTCATGGCCAGGCGCCAGGCGCGCCATGGCCGGCCTGCCGGACCCCCCTCCCCCCATCTCAACTAGGCCACCGGGGCC